CAAACCAACAAACCAACAAACCAACAAACCAACAAACCAACAAACCAACAAACCAACAGACCAACAAACCAGCAAACCAACAAACCAACAAATCAACAAACCAACAAACCAACCAACCGACAAACCAACCGTCCGACAAACCGACAAACCCTGTCACACTTGTTAGACCCGCGAATCGATCAAAAGTAAAGAAGCCAAAGAAGTATCAAGTCGGCCTGCCAAAGGGAACAGGAATCGGGTTGGGCCCTCAAGGCCTGCCAACGTTGACGGGTCTGATCGTCTTGCTGTGATTGGCTAGTGCTCGATCGATATTAGACCAGTGGAGGCATCAGCAAAACTGACCAATCCCGTGCTGACCTGAGGATTGATATGTGCCCGGTCAAGAATAGCAGTCACTACACCGATGCACACATGCACAGATAAGCATTCACCGGCACACAGACACGTCTTGATTACGTGGGCGGTAAACTCCTTTCAACGCCGAGCTTATGCAATGGTCAATTATTACTTTGCCTCCTGCAGCGCCCATTCACCTCGGCCGGCTGCTCTCTCTTCCTCCCACGTGCTATTTAGTCTCGTTTCACTCCATATTGCCCAAACTTGGCCATCCGGAAGACATACAGATCCCAACTCCAGCCGGCAGCAACTGGCTGGACTAATCGGACGGGCTCGAGGGGAAATCTATCCTCGATTTGGTGGAATTATTGAAATTGCCTCAATCCCGACTGGTCAGATGATGGCGCCAAAATGGAGGCACGACGATGTGTGTGTGTGTGTGTGTGTATTGTTCAGTCGGACCGGGGTGAGGTGAGGCAGTTTGACCTGATACTACATGACGTTAGTTGATGTGATCTGGCATGATGTTTGGTAGAGTGGTTGACTTTTTGTGTTTGTGTGTGTGTGTATTTGTGTGTTGTGTGTATTTGTGTGAATGTGCGCGAATTTATGGGCGTCCGCCTTGTAAAAGAATCCTGCTTGTGGTCGTATCTGTATGCGTGCACGTGTGTGACATTTACTTGTGAAGCTGGTCTGTATGTTTGTGTGTGTGTGTGTGTGTGTGTAGGTGCGCATCCCTATAGGCTCAAATGCCGGAATTATTAACAAGTTGAAAAGACGTGTAGGCGAGGCCTGATCGTGACACAAAAAGGAGACTGGCCGAGAGTCGGGCTATTTTTGCACAACTTCTGCTGGTGTGTCAGTCTTTTTTGAGGGCCAGGGCGTCTTGTGTAAACGGAACAAAGAAGGAATTAACAGGTGTTATGATCCAGACAACACCCGCTCCGTTTCGGGGCATACACAAGACCCGAATCCTACGCAAAAGTCGTCCATAAGACTCTAGGGTTGTTATCTACCAAGGCTAAACTGATTATGTATAAGTCCTCCTCCTTATTGTTGGGCTGAATTCCATCTCGCCTGTGCAATTTGTCGGTGTGCATGTGTGTGTGTGTGTGTGT